CAGGGCGCGCTCCAAGCTCGAGTCCAGCACGTGCCCCAAGCATGGGCCCAGCGCGAGCCCCAGGCTCCTCCCCAGCTCACGCTCCAGGATCCGGCCCAGCACGAGGTCCAAGCAGGGCCCCAACGCCATCTCCAGGTACACTTGCACAACAGTACAGGGCGAAAATTTTCTAAAACTATTAATTATTTTAATTTAGAGGTAAAGAGAATTTTAGCAAATAAATAACTGTAGTAATAGTTAGTAGGAAAATTGTAGTTTGTGGTGGAATAGTTAGTAATAGATAGCAGGAAGATTTATATGGACTAAATCTTGGAATTTTTTTAAAATTTTTTGTTGCAGTTTCTTTTCCTCCGAGGCGAGCTCCAACTCCAACACCAACTACTTCTCCAGGTACATTGAGATCAAGCTAATATAACTTTCACAATTTATTTTATTTTATTTTTTAGTACAGATCTAGGATAATATTTATAAATTTTTATTAATTGTAGTATTTAGGTTGAAATTACGATTAAAGGTTGAAAATATCATTGATGTTAAGAAAAAGTGTCATACTAAAATAAATTTATAACCTAGTTTTAATTATTTTTTTTAAAATAGTTAATAATTCAACAAATATTAAACTAAAAAAGAGAGAGAAAAAGAATGCAATTTTTCAAAATAGTCATCCTTTAACCACTTTTATCTACAACCCATTTTAAAATTAACCTCAACCTTTTAAAATTTTCGATTTTATGATGTTTATAAATTCTAAATTATTATGTCTTTAGGTAAAAATTATGTCAAAGTTAATTATAAAAAGCGTATATATGCAACTAACGGTAAGTGTGATGGTTGCAGTTAACCCACCAGCACCGGCAGAAACACCAGAGGAGGCGCCAAGCAGCGGCCCAATATCGGCGCCACCACCGTACAGCTGGGGACCGGCCGCTGACGATTCGCCGGCGCCGGCGCCGTCCGATGCCGCAACTTTCGCCATTTCCTTTAACCTCTGCGTGCCTCTTCTTCTCACCCTTCTCCCTTCATTCCGACCATTGTGATGCTCTTTTTCAGAAGCCATCTCCTCCTTATTTTTGACCGATTAATTTTCATCAGTTTACTTCTTATTTCTCCCCTTGGAGATTTTTTTTAATTATTTTTATGGAACTCTTTTGAAATAATGTAGTCTCCATCTTTCGTGAGCGGATCATTTATTAATATAGAGTTCTTTTTTTTTCTTGATGTTAAGATATCATCTTTTTTTTATTAGAATACAAATATGTGCAGAAAAACTGGTAATTATATTTGCAAATTTGTCACACATCAAAATAAGTCGTAAACATGACAATTTTTTCTCATATATATATCACTAACATGTATATATATGTTAAAGTCATTTTTAAAAATATTTCATCATGTCACAAATTTAAAATTATTTAGGCTGATAATATGCTATTATTGCAAAGTCTTCTAGAAAAATAATCCTTACGTGTCTTCAGTAAGAAAAAAGAAAAAGGCTGATAAATATTCTTCCAAAATTAGAGGGATATGGATCTATCATCTATAACGAGAGGCCCATTTCGGGTAATTTGTGGACCATTTATCAAATCTCTCTAATCTCTAGGGTTAAGATTATCCTAACGAGTCTTAAAATTTAAACATTTAATTTAGTAAATAATTTAAAGATATTAATTTTTATCATATAACATAGTTGTTTAAAGTTTTGCTATAAAAATAATCGTATGACCACTGAACAAATTTGGTTGACGAACAAGGTTTATGCGTCACCACTAGTGGCGAAGAAAATTTCTACCGTTCCACCCAAAAACAATTCGGAGCCTAAATTAAAGAGAAGAGAGTTCAATCTACAAGAAGCTGAGCTTTAGCCATTTGACTATATCCATCGATACTACCTAAATCGTCACTTTTTTTTTCGTTTTTCAAATGACATTAGTGGAGATGCCACCCAAACCAACTAAGAGAAGTCGCATACGTCCCATCACAAGCACCTACAATATTATGATCACATAACATATATAACTCAATTCGTTAAGACATTTATTTCTGTATCAGACGTCATGAGTTTGAATTGTCACCCCCACTTATTGTATTTTTAAAAAAAATATTAAYTAATTAAAAAATTAAATTAAATTAATAATTTGTTTGAACGTTGGATTAATAATTTATTATTGTTATTATTATTATTATTTATTATTTTTTTTTAGAACTGTTTTGTTCTGATTATAATTGATGCCGGTATCGTTTTTGTTGTCCGTTAATGACCAGAAAAGACAATATAATATTGATACTTGTTATTAGCCACATATAACTTATCACCACGTTTTTAATATTTGAAAATATTTAATTATCAAATTTGCTTTGGTGGAAGGGGCAAGAACATGAAATCTTTTTTTTTTCAAAATAATCTAGATTTTAAATAGTTTTAAAAGATGAAATATATGAATTATTTGCCCTAACATATATACTATTTTTTAATACCAGCGATGAGATCGTGAATAAGAAAGTAGGATTTTAATCGACAATTTGAGTTTGAAATACTAATTGTTATGGATGATAGTGACTTCATTTTTTAAAACGAGAGACATTACTATCAAGTGACTTGATTTTCTTACATTCTCATTTACATTTATAGTGCAGTGGCTTATCAAGAAGAATGATATCTTAAAATAACAAAAAGGAAAAAAAATAGGAACCTGTAGAAGATTTGAGACATTTATTAAATTTTGTGTATCAAGTGGGTGTGCCCAAATAATCAAAATATTCATGAACATGTAAGAAATATGGTAATTGACATATACCTCTTGAGTTCGGATCCCCTCTCCAACGTGTCTATTAACCAACAGTATTGAAATTCTAAAAAAAAAATCTAAAAATCTATTAGATACTTTTTAAATGGAGATATTTATTAGACTAAGTTTGAAAAGTTTATAGATCAAATTTGAATTTATAACTTTATTTAAAAGGTAAAAACATTAATTTAATAATTGAACCAAATTTTACAAATGGATTGATTTGGATTCCTTTTCTAAAAATATTGGTCCACATGTCATCTATGCATCAAGACATTGATATTTCTACCTTTGTCATTTTAACCATAATAACTGGGTCAAAAATTTTAACACAAAGGTTGATGTTTAGAGAACAAAATTTCTGCCTTATCATTCGCACTTATTACGAAAGGTTAATATTTGAATTCGAAGAACATGCTTCGATCTCGCCCTAAAATTTTGAACTTAAAAAAAAAAAAATTCATGAAACTCAATCCTTACGCTTTGAAAAATTATTGAAAGAGATTATTATGGTGTAACTGTCAATTTTTCATAGCTAGATTTATAAGAAAAATCATATAAATATATGTCAATTACTACAGAACTATGTTCGCTTTGACATTATTTAGGATTCGATAAAAATTCGGAATGAAAGAGTTTGCGTCAGAATCGAACAATACGTCTGAACATTCAAGGACGAAAGAAAAATACTTCTACAGGAACTCGTTTTCACGCTCATGTCACGTACTGCATAAGAAAAAATTGTAAAATCCGATCCAATTTATTTTTTCTTGTTGATACAGAAATTTGGTCTCATGGAATTCCGTCAAATTCCTGCCAATCTTCTATAATAAAAGGGATCGACGAGACCTGCAAAACAGAACAACATTAAAGACCTGTGTGTTGACTTGTGTGTTCTTGCCACACATACTCCGATGCTTATAAAGTGTAGAGTGTTGTGAGCATTTTAAATAGTAGAGATCTGTAACATAGATTTGACTTTTCTCTTGAATCTGAAAACCATCCAGATATCTTCCCTTTTGAATCCCTTGAATAAAGAGGATTGAGATTTTCTCATCCATAACATATCTCATCGATCTCATAAGTGCCATACGAATCCCATCAATCGAATCGTTTTTTTGAAAAATGCGAGAAATCATAAGTAATACAAGTAAAGAGATAAATTTATTGATAAGAAAAAGAAAGGATTGATGATAATGAGACTACTACAACATATTTACTCATGAGCGGGACAAACTAAACTAGGTGGATGATTGACTCCTTTCATATTGGTTTTAAGAATGCACAACGGAATAGATCAAATCAATAAAATTGATAAACCGAATTGAGCCGAATCGAATTTTGCAGTTAGTCAGAGTGGCATTTGAGTTCGATTTGTTGTATTTCTTTAAAAGGTTTGGTTCAATTTCGGTTCGGATATTAAAAAGACCGAATCGAACAAATTTAAATATATAATATAATTTTTTATTTTGTATTTTATAAAAGCTTCTCTTTCATTTCTCCCAGGGCCCAATGCTCAAGCCCATTGACAGTTCTCCAATTCCAAATAACATGAATCACGTTTTCACACGTTTTCTTTTTATATTTTAATTCTCTTCCTTTCATTTCTCCCATATCCCAAGGTCCTGTCCCTTTATCAATAATATTATTTATTATCGGTTCCACTTTAATTTAGTTTCAAAATCGAACAGAGTTGAACCCCTTACGTTCCGTTCCAATTTGGGTTATTATAACTAATTATTTGAATATATAAACTAATCAATTAATTAAATTGGCTATATTTTAAGTCACAAATTGCAATCTCACATTAATAAAATCTTTCGAACTTACTAGCATTTGAAATTTTGGAGTGAGGTTTCATTATTTGTTGTAAATTGTAGTTTCACGTGATATAATAATCATGGTATGTGTACAAACAAAATATAGTACATAAATTCATAATTTTAAGTTATGGATTATACAGATTTAGTATCTAAGAAGTTGGGAAGCTCTGGTTATGTTGAAAAGCCTTTGAAGGCTGGAAAATCAAGGAGGGAAGGATATTTACCTTGAAACGGACTCGTTGGAAGTTGAATCGTTGGTGACAAATAGAGATTCGGACCTTACCGAGCTTTTCTAGATTGCTGAAGAAACTCCAACACTAATAGAAATGAAGTCGGTGGTCTCTCTATGCTCGATTATTGCGCATGCAATATCTCGGACAACCATGGCTGAAGATCCTGTGAAAGTCTGGAGTTTTGGGTTTGAAGATTTCCCTCCATGGCTTTCTCGTTTAGTTGAAACTGATATTTGTTAATTGTCTTCCTTTTATTTTGTTTCAGAAAAAAAAAAAACATTAAAAATAGTGATAATTTTCCATAGTTAATTAAAATAGTAATAATTTTTCTACATTTTTCCTTTCAAACTATGTACTGCTAACATTTATAGACTACAAACTTATAAATACACGTTAAATCAGTACTGATGTGCTAAAAAACTCAAATTTTGTAAACAACAAATGCCTCTAAGCTAAGATGTATTCAATATTAAATACATGGTTGACTATTAAAAGTTTGATTAGAGCCCTTAAACTTGGGCAATGTTTTAGCATATAGTATAGAGTATTTTTTTTTAATTTTTTTTTGAGATAAGCTAAGCATGTATTTAAATATGATCTAAGGGACATCTCAACGTGTTGCTAGAAAAATATATAATACATTAAAAATGAGTAGGTAATACTAATTATTTAAATAACCATTTCATGCTAAGTATATAATATGGTATTTTTTCCATTTCATTACTCTCAATATTTTAAAATTTTTAATTTCCTAATTTTAGTGTCAATCCCTTTCCGGAAAAAACTTATTGTATTAACTATAAAACTATATGCTTTTATTGCGATCGTATATTTAATATGATGAAAGTGATATAAATATTCTATTGATTCCTTATAATAGTTTATATGTTTTCTTTACTCACTCCAAGGCAATATTATTTTTATTGGAACTCAATGAAAAAAAGTTTGGAAGTTATACAATAAACTATATATTCTTTATTGTATTGAAGTACAACTCAAAATCTAAATATTATTTAATAGTTCTATGTTGCTGGTCTTGTGTACCATGATCATGACTCATGTTCATGGGAGGTCAAGATCGTACAAATGCAACAAAGGGAAAAAAAATTAATAACAATAAAATTATTACATAGTAGAAAAGTTATATTTTATTGCTTAACATGCTACCAAACGAATTCAAATTCGAATTAAGAAATATTTATTAAAAGAATGATATAGCTTGTTTTTGGTTTGTTAATTTTTTAGTCCTTTTTTTTTTAAATTAATAGATTGATTAGAGCAAAATCTGAAAGCAAATAAACCCAATAAAAAGTAAGGTTGCATATTTTAAAGTGTTTTAATTGATTGCAAATAAAAAAATTGAATTTGAATTTAAAAAATTTCAGTGTGTTTGGTAATAATTTGTAAACCATAAGAATATAGTGGTGGTTACAAACTAGGTATTTATTCAATCTAAAATATGATTAGTTAAGCACATTGTATAAATTATTATTTTATAATATTATATAATTTATAATGGTTCCGCTATACATTTCTTAATCTTAACAAAAATAAAATGAGTTTATAATCTAAAACAGTGTATTTAACCGAGTTTTATCATTTTTGTTTTTAAATGGAATCATGCATTTTTAAATTTCAAATTAATGTTGTTTTAAGAATTTATACTTTATGGATAAGATAATCTAAAAATAGTTTAAAAAATAAATCCACCAAATAAATATTCAATGAATTGGTTTCAAGAAACAAAATTTAGATGGCATATGAAAGTAGCTTTGGATCATTTAAGTATGATTGATTGGTCAATCAATTTGAGGTTGTCGATAAAGGACTCTATTTCTCTTTCTAAGTCACTTCATTGTCTTTTTCCAAATTTCTTCTCATTTCTGTCTAACTAATATTTTTCGTTTTAAGTCTCTATAAATCACTTGAATTACTGAGCTTTCAAATAAAGGAAAAAGAGACCTTGCTAAAAAATTTGAAGGGATCAAAATCATTTGTCAAATAATAAGCCGAACGAATTAAATCATTTATTTATTAAATCTTTCAACAATAGATTGAATATGAAGTAATTTTTTTTTTCTTGCAAATATAAACATAACTCAATTGATCAAAGTATTATTACCAACCTAAAAGTTGGAGGTTTGAATTTTCCACCTCTTTCATTAAGAACAAATTTTTTCTTAGTACAACAAATGAGAGTGAGGAATTCGAACTATTATCCCATGATATGTGTCATTTACTGAGCTAATTTATGTTGGTTAACGTGATTTTAGTAAGAATTAAATCTTATCATTGATTTATAGATGAATTATAAATCTTTAGCCATATTAAGTTATTAACAAAGAAAGAAGAGAGTGAAATATGTAGAAATAATTGGCGACATGAACAGTTTTATTTATGATGGTACGATGCCTTTATATCAAATGCCCAACGAACAGCGCTCTAATTGTTCGATCATCAAAAAGGGCTTTTTCTTTCCAATTAAAGTTTTAGGGTAAACGAAAGGTGCAGATTTGGAAGAGAGCGGTGAGAGAGGCGTGGAAGCACCTAACCCCCAACCATTCATTACCCAACCTCATCTCCAAAATTTAATTTTTCTTTCTCTCCTTCCTTTTTTTTTCCTTGGGCCAACGCATCACCTATTCCGCTGATCAAAACCCACCTA